AGATAGAATTATTACAGAAATGAGGGAGAAACTGAAGGAGGTGGAAGATAAAAAATGGAGAGCAGAATGAAATTGTGAAGCACACAAGGAACGCAACGAAAAATATAAACGGGAACTTGCAGAGGTGAAGACGAGAGTGAAAGAGTTAGAAGAAGAAAAAGAACAAATGGAAGAACGATTTAAGTGGTTGGAGCGAAGAATAAATGACAACTGAGGATGGAGCATTGGCGTGTATGTGTTTAGTGTCATTTTCATATGTCATGTATTTTTATTATGTTGGCCTGTTATGTTTGTGTTTGTGTTGTAGTAATGTTTTCCTGGTTTGTTGTACTAAATTTTATTTTAATTTAAGTGGAAGTTAAGTTTAAGTTGTTGTTTACTATACCAAATACTATAAAATGAAATGAGAACTAAAAAAAAGTAACTGCTATATTCGACTAAATATTGTTGTTAATGTATACAAAAATATTATTTACACCAAAAAAACAAAAAAATGGAAGACCGAATCAATGTGTCCCGCATCCGGTGTGTCTCAAAGTAGTCGTTGGCCTGAGGCGCATCCCCTGCCGCCCGGATACGCTATCAGGATCATCATCATCAAGTCGTCTCTTTATGGCCGGATGCGGCACAGGATGACATGTATCGGTGGTGCTGTCAGGTCCAGTAGAAGGCTACATAATAATATCAAACTTAGTATAGAAAACTACATAACAATTCACAAAAATTTATATTGTCTTACCATAATCGTGTCTGGATCCTGAATGTAGTCATCTGTCGCAGCATCGCATGAAGCCTAAAAAAGTAAATTAATAAAGTTAAAAGAAAATAAATAAGTTATAGTAAAAACAGTAATAAAATTAATACTAATAAACTCATACCTGCGCATGTGATGAGTTGTCATAACTCAGTCGGTGCCCACTATCAAAATCTCGGATCGGTCGAGACTAATTAATGGTAGACGGGCCAGGGAAATATCTACCCAACTCCACTCCTTGAAAATTTGAGCCCATGATCAAGAATTAACCCGATGGGGTCACTTGCGACGTCCCTGGAGTGTCATAAATGCCAAGGCTGTAAGACGGCAT